TTGCTCCTGTGACTATGTAGGACAGATGAGGAAGCTAACCACCAGATTGCAAGAACTTAAATGAGTCAGACAAAGAGACCCGAACTCATTGGTAGCCTTACATTGCAATGAACAAGGGTATACATTCAATTTTGCAGCTACTTAAGATTGTTGGCCGAACAGGTACAAAAATAGTGATGGAAATGATTGAAGCCTGGGAAACAGGCCTCTTGTCAATCAACAGGTCATGTCCTTCTAACCCAATCAACAGGTCATGTCCTTCTATTTCTCAGCAGTACCCATTCTTTCATCCAAAGTATAGTTTCAAATCAGGCAGACCCAATCTTCCTCTTTCCTTTGCATCCTGTAACACTTTATATACCAGGACTACTTGTATAACTATTATTCCTAAACTTTATGAAGGTAGATGGTAGATCTCTGTGAAGAGTTCTAAATCATTGTTAATCAACTTCATAGATATGGCAGGTGTAATACCAAACAAATGACCTCTCAGTTTAAATGGATACAAACTTAGTCAATTATTATTATAAGAAAATATTAAAGTGTTACCATGAAACGGACTTTCCCCAAATCTTTTTAAGTCCTAATGTTAGTATGTCATCATTTGTCTGAGGGTTTTTTTTTTTTTTGTGAATTCAAATAGAAAGAATGCAACAATGAAGGTTATATTACTAAATAATATGAAACAGTTAGAATCAAGCCATCCAGGTTCAATTCAAGCATCTGGTAGTGATCTATAAAGCCCTTCATAGTAGGAGATCAGATTACTTGTGGGACTTTTAATGAAGAGAAAGACGAGGGGGGACATGATAGCAATGTTCCAATATCTCAGGGGCTGCCACAAAGAAGAGGGAGTCAAGCTATTTTCCAAAGCGCCTGAAGGCAGGCAAGAAGCAACGGGTGGAAACTAATCAAGGAGAGAAGCAACCTAGAACTAAGGAGAAACTTCCTGACAGAACAATTAACCAATGGAACAACTTGCCTCCAGAGCTGGTGAATGCTCCAACACTGGAAGTTTTTAAGAAGAGACTGGACGGCCATTTGTCTGAAATGGTATAGGGTTTCCTGCCTGAGCAGGGGGTTGGACTAGATGACCTCCAAGGTTCCTTCCAACTTTATTATTATTATTATTATTATTATTATTATTATTATTATTATTATTACCCTTTCTTCTCAACTGTCCCTATCCATCTGGTGCAATCCAACAGGAGAACCACCCTCTGGATCCTGTCTACGAGGGAGTGTTATCTGGCAGATGGGTGCCCAGACAGACTTCTCTGTTGTGGTTCCCATTCTCTAGAACAGTGGTTCTCAACCTTTTTAATGCCGCGACCCCCAACCGGTCATAAGTCGAGGACTACTCAACTGGTCATAAGTCGAGGACTACTCAACTGGTGCAGCACCGTTTGCAGAATGGGACTTTTGGCAGGCTCAGCAGGGCAGAGACAGCCTGGACAATTCCTATTGGCTTTTGAAAGCCAATAGAATTAGACTCTATTCAAGAGAGTCTATTCTATTGGCTTTCAAAAGCCAATAGAATAAAAGGGAGTAGCACAGCTAAGGAAAAGGGGAAAAAAATGGCGGACTGCGTTGTTTGGCGACCTCCGTGAAATGGTCGTTCGACCCCAAATGGGGTCCCGACCCACAGGTTGAGAACCGCTGCTCTAGAACATCATTTTCTTGGAGATTAGGCTTGCCCCACCCCTACTGGCTTTTTGCAAGGTCTTCAAAGTCTAACTTTATTGCTGAGCTTGGTTGAATCTATATGTTGATTATATTGATTGGTTTTATCTCAACTCCTGCATCTGTTGTTTTTATGATGTTTTATCTTGTTTTTGTTTTCTATTAGCCACCTAGAGTCATATGTTTAAGAGAGGTAACCATATAAATTGAATATATAAACACTTAACCCAATATTAAATTTAGAAAAAAGGATAAAAGCAATATGGAGTCAAGCAGATTTATTAGAGGTAAGAGACCTATAGGAAGCTGAATTTTATAAAAAAAAATTTATAAAAAAAAATATTCTGAAAAAGGCAACAAATCACATAAATTGCAGGCCTAGAGTACTAACTGCTTAAGGATCAAAGATCAAAGCATTATTACTTCTATCTAGGATAGAACCAAACATGTTTCTATAATGAAAGAGATGATGCAACAATATGTAATTACTATTCCAGATTATATAGTAAAGAGACAAATGATTCAGAAAAGACAAAAACAAATTTTGTTAAGTAATTTGAATTTCTCACAAAATTGATCTATCAAAAGGAAGTTGTTAATCAATGTATAACTGAAGATAAGTTCAGAAAGTCAATGAAAAAACTGAACTTGAATCACATAACACTCCTGTCAGAAGTACAGAAACATCTGGGTTGAAAGGAGTAGACAGTGATATTACCATTGTCTGGAGATGCCCAGTTGGGAGCTTCTTTCATGCCCCTCGTAGGAGCTAGAGCAAAGAATGGGAGCTTACCCCGCCCTTAGCAGCATTTGGGTCTCAAACCTGGGCTTGCTAGCTTCCAACCCAGCATCCTAACCCCACAAGCCACCTTGCTCCTACTGAAATTGAATAAAGCTCCAGAACAGTAGTATTCTATATTATGCCTAAGACTTTCCAAGAAATGTTGATTACACCTCTAACTCAAGTAATTAAATTTAGTAATATGAAAACCTATCACAAAAATAAGTCCTTATCTCTTTTCTCTTAGTGTTAGAGAACACTAAAGCAAAGCCTTATGGCGCAATTGTCACAAACTAGAATTGCCAGAGTGCTAAAACATAGTTGCCAAGTATTAGTGCAAATTGGAATGAAACTGCCCTAAAACAGTGTGTTTACCACATTTCTAAGAGGATTCAGAAGATAGCATCATAAAGTTCAAGCAGATTCCCTCTATTTCCTCAATAGGTGATTGAAGTAGATTTAGTTCTCAAACCAAGTGTACTTATTGTACAGGTTACTTCTAATAAATCATGTTTCCAGCAGTACAGGCTCAGCTTTTTCTTTTCTTTATTAAAAGTTTTATAAATGTATTACAATATAAACCCCCCCACCCCTTCCCCCCCACTTCCCAGAGTTGATTACAGGATAAAACAAAATAATAAACAAATATAATCTAACTAACATAAACCAACTATACTATCAATCAAAACCATAACACACTTTAACTCCTTCTCAATACAAATATTAACAAATTAAGTCACAAATAATAATATAATTAAAACTATTAATAATTATCTAAGATCTACTGAAAAGCAAGATAATACTTTTCAATTTCATATTTCTTCTGAATATAATCAATCCATCTTCTCCAAACCATAATATATCTTTCTTGTGAATGGTCCTTCAAGTAGGTGGAGATCTTCGCCATATCTGCTAAATTAGACACTTTAAGTATCCATTCTTCCAAAGTAGGCAACAAATTTTTCTTCCAATATTGCCCCACCAATAATCTTGCAGCTGTTATAAGGTTCAACATCAAATTAGTTTCTTTAAATTAGTTTGTTGGGTATACTCTACAATAATACCCAACAAAAATAATTGCGGAGTAAACTTTATCTTTTTCTTAAAAATCTTTTGAATATTCCACCAAATCTTAATCCAAAAAGCTTTAATATCTCCACAAGTCCACCAAATATGGAAATAGGTTGCATCTAAGTTTCCACATCTCCAACATGCAGCTTTTTCTAACATAAGGATGCCATGTATAGATTTTCCAGATGCATATCATTTGCGTAATCATTCTCTTTTTAAGGATGTAACTTGCAAATCAATCCTATGCTCCTTCGGCAAACCCATGATGTTAATTAATATTCTATCTTTACTACCAGAGATGAAGAATAGACTGAGTAACAGTGACCTGGCCCAAAAAGAAATCTCAAAAGACTGCAATGATTAAGAAGACTGTCATTTTATAAATATTGTGCTTACGAGTGTGCTTTAAATTTTTAAGCCTAAACACATTTATTAGAAGGAAATCCCAATTACGCAGATTGAGGCTATGCTGTGTGCTTCATTAATAAGAATACTTTCTGCTGGGGAGAGAATTGTTTCAGCTACAGCTTTTGAAAACATGTATTCATGTATTCAACATTACCTACTAATCATAATAACTTGGCACTGACTGAGTCATTCAGGGTAATATCAAATTTCTTAAGGCATTTTCACAAGAGATGAAAAACTCACATTGTGTTATCAGTAATTTTCTGGTCCTGAAAACTCTTAAACTGGAACTTTTAAAATGCCACCAGGGGTCAAATTTCATAGGAATAAGCAGCGCTCAAAACACACTTCTACAGAGTACATACGAAACAGTAATATTTCTGAGGGGTAGCTTTGCATAGATTATGCATCTGGCAAGACTGCATAACACAAACAGCATGGCAACTCCAGATTTAGAAGTCTGCATATATTTCTCATATGCTATACAAAGGTATTTTCTGAGTCATTCTGCATCCATTTTTTACCAGTAAATGAGCATTTTTATTCCATTCTGTTAGTAAATCATGCAGAGGAAAACTATTTTTTTAAAACAAACAAACAAACAAACATGCATGGAAGCCAAAACTTCACTACTGGGAGCAGTAGGCTCTATTATCTATAGTCTTTGCCCCTTTCCTTGATCCTTTATTAATTGCATCTGCTCAGCACATTTGAAAATGTTGTAATATAATATTAGATTTGTAAACAAAAGCCATTGATTTCTCATGATTGCTCCACACCATCCCTATCACAATACACTTTTAATGTGTATATTGTGTAGGATTTAACCACAGGAACATGCACATCGGTGCAGATCAAAGCGTCAAATCTTGCGAAATGTATTAAAGTAAAAAAAAAAACCAAGTGCAATAGGTAGTGTGTAATACTGTGGTTCTTCTTCGTTACTTTTATCATGGAGGAGGAAGAGGAGAGAAACAGTATGAACTTTATCTTTCTATCTGAAGATGATGCAATGGGGATGTTCCAAACAATGATGGGGCAAAGTTTAGCACATCTCTTTGATAAACTGGTTTTTCTTCTCTCTTTGATGAAACTGGCTTCTCTCCTGGCTTCCATAACCTACTTTATGCACGTATTGAGTTATGCAATCACCCCCCTCTTTGTATAAAAGATCAAAGAAAGGCCCAACAGGAAGCTAATCTGCAACGACCTGGTGGTGTATAGATATTTGTCTGAAGAACCGAACCGTGGAACCGTTGCCAGACAAGAAAACCACGGGCAGGAAAAAGAAAAAAAAAGGAAAACCAAGTTGACTGGCCGGCACCGTCTGTGCAAAGCCAGGGCGCTCTTGCGGCGAGAGAGGCTCTGCGGTGCGTGACTGCTGAGACGTGAGAAGGGGAGAGAATTGATCACCGGGCTCTTTCCCAGCCGCACCATGTCCCCCTCTGCCCGCCCCGTCTACTACAGCGTTGTTTTCGTCTGGTATGTGACTCTTTTCTACGCCGTCTCCCACCAAATCGCCAAACTGGAAAAGCCCGAAACGTCCACAGGCTACTTCTACCAGTTGTTTGGCGGTCAGTGGAGATACCTGAGTGTTCTCATTGTGGTAAGTATGCTAATGCGTATCTCGGCCAGCTGACGGCCGGCCTCTTGAGCCGTGAAGCGTGAGTTTGTATTTCCGGTTGCGAATAAGCCCAGCGTAGCGGGAATCTGCGGGAGCCGACAGCAAGGAGTTGGTGGCCAGCTAAAGGCAGGCCAGCTGTTCGGTGGGTAAAAAGTGTGACAAAAAGACTGCGTAAGCTTGTAATATAAAGAAATCACTGAATGCAAGACGGATCGGGAGACGTCAGAGATCAACTCTCCTCCACCAGCTCACGTTCTTCAACCCCAAGCTACTTAAAAACAAACGCAACCATTTTGGGGGGAGTTGATTGCAAAATCAATGCCCTGCCAGCAAATAATAACAATAATTAAAATTTTAAAATGTAGTTCGCATTTATATGAGTTTATACACCCGTATCAATATAGTCTGTTTGGGAGTATTTGAGGGGAGCAGGACATATGCAGGCGATATGTAGGGGTCCTATAGAAATCCAGGAGTGTGAAACAGGAAGAAATGGCTGTATCCAAATGACTGTTTTATGGGAGGTTCAGCTGTACAGAAAACTTTCCCTTGCCTTTTCCCAGATCTTTATAATGCATCGTTACATTTCTAAGGAAAGAAACATATAAGAAATTAAATTCAGATGTTTAAAAATAAGCAATTATCAAGTTCAGATTCACCATACCTTAATATGCATTCAATGAAAAGAAAGTATTGTGTAACTAGTTCTAGACACTGATGAAAACTCTGGATTAAAGTTCATCAAATGATGGTCTACTTGTTTCAGGGACATCTAAGATAATCATCTGGAACAATTCAATGTTTCAGGGACATCCTGTTTCAGGGACGCCTAAGATAACCATCTGGAACAATTCAATATTCATATTTTTGAAAAGTAAGTAAGTGCACTAAGCTATAGGAAAGTAGCCAGGTTTTCTAACCTTGCACCACAATGAAATCTGTTAGCACCAGCTGAACTAAATAGGAAAATTCAACACTGGAGGGTAGGTAGCACACTTCTTTTGAAATCAGTTGAAATTTCAGATGGGTAAATAAGTAAACCATCCTGGAGTTGCTGCAACAATGAGTATATAAATTAAACAGTTTCACTCATAACAAAGTCTTCTTAGTTTGTGATTTCTCAAGAATGATCGATCCTCTTATAATATACTTAAAATGAAGCAATGATGATAAAGATGATGGAACTTGCCAAGATAGTTAAATTGATTTCTTTGATTTTAGAAAAGACAATATTTATATTATTGCTGATTGAAACCCCTTATGGAGTTTTTGCATAAAACAGATAATGAACTTATGATTTATGGTTTAGATGATTAGATAGGATAGATTATAGAAAGAAAAGAGACATGTTGTAACTTTAGAGAAAAAGATAAATTTATAATCATAACTGCTATAAAGAAGATTGGAAGCTACTTCTTTGTAACTTCTTTCTTTTCTGTTTTTCTTTTCCCCTCTTCCCCTTTCTTGTAATTTTAGCTTTCTCTTTCATTTCTTTCTCTTTTTTCTTTGCTTTTATTAGTCTGTATTAACTTCTTTTAACTTTTTAAAACATTGAATAAAATTGTTTTTTTTAAAAAAAGAATGATCCTGCTGCAGCATATTGCATGTTGAAGATTTCATACATCATCAGTCAACAATGTTTGATTTTAACAAGGAAAAAAAGATGAACCATAGTTAGATATTGTATTGTATTTGTTATAGATCATTTCTCTTGTTTATGTATAACTTCCAAATTGTTCATTGATGCATACAAATGTCCATGTATGTACCTACACCAAGATACTGTGAGGATTAAGGGAACCTTAAGCATAATAACCTCTTTGGCCTGCAAGTTTCTGGACCCATGCCTGTGTGTTTGACCTGAATACTGCCTTACTAGAAGCCTTATATGGATGGGGCTGGTGATTCGATGAGATAATTTAAAGTGGTTACCACCACATTTGCTGCCTCTTAACCCTATCTGTCTAGATAGGGTGGTAGGGATCTGATCAATTTGCCTCTGGTAGATAGATATTTTATGGCCAACTCCATCCACTTTTTCTGTTTCCATCATGGTAGCTTTTTTGTGAGAGTCACGCCAATATGTTTCCAAGACGCCAAAAATATTCCAAAAGGTTGCCTTCCTGTTATATGAAGGAAAGTAAATTAAATACAATAATGACTGCTTTCCCAGCATAATGTATTTGTATCTTTAGTGTATTTGTGTAAAATTGGTACTTTTGATACTGTATCTGGGATATAATTGAAGAGCTAGCCTAGACATTTTAATACTTGAGGCAAACAAACAAGATGGTGCTCTCCTATCCTCCAATGGTCTTGGATAAGATGATTGGACTGTCATTGAATATTATTTCAAAGCTGTAGAAGTAATAAACCAATTTGTAATGTCGGATAAATCCTATGGCAAGTTAGATCCAGCAGAAGGGAATGACATGGATGGTCAAGAGGAACCAATGAGAGATTAGCTCTCCTCCCTTCTATTATTTGATATCTCAAGCAGTTGCATCATTCTATCAAATTTAGGCTTGGTCTTGTATAATGTTTTGTGATGCATTTCCATGGGGACTATTCAAATGTTAAAGGCTTCAATTGAATTGAAAAAAAGGGGATTTAATTGAATCCCATTGAAGTAGAATGCAAGACTGATGCAGCAACTCACTTTGGGTTTTTTAATTTATATATTGAATTGCTCTGCTTTGATGATTCAATTTGGTTTTTTTTTTTCAGAATACTGGTTTGGATTGTTCTGATGTATCAGATCCAAGCAGTCTGATTTTCTGGAGAAAAACAGTATTACTAATCAGAATAATACTACACAACTTCACATGGACTTAGATATTATGAAATAACCTTTTTGTATTAAAATTCCTCCCAGAGTAGAATCCATATTACTTCTTTTAAGTGATTTTCTTCTTGTAATGACTGGATATTTGCATATTCAGTTGCCTTCTCTTATTTAAGTTCATTAAATGAGGTAGTTTATCACCCAAACTAATTCATTAAAACATTTCCAGCAAGAAAAATACATTTAGTCTGAAAACTATTCTTTAAAGCATAAGCATACAGTTTGGTGAGATACAGTATATACAACTTACCTTTGTATGATCAACTACTCATTAGATATAATTAATTTAGTTTTTGCAGGTTTTTTTCTATGGGATTTCCTTGCTGACCAGTGCATTCATACTAATGAAGAAACAAAGAATTGCCACGATCATGATATCCTTTAAAGACTTGATCTTTAGTAGCTTGGTTTTCCCATTTTCCACAGTAAGTTGCAATAATATTTATCAATGCAAAATTAATTATATGTGTTATGAATTAGATAATTATTTGGATAAACAATAATTTGATTTTAAGTTAATTCATAGTATTATGGCAGGAGCGAATTATAGCTGATACCCAGTTTGGTATACTCTTTCTAAATGTCTGTAGGGGTCATGGGAAGGAGTACATCATTTTGAAGATAACTGAAATGCTATTGTAGGCAGAACCTAATTCTTGAGTGATGAACCCACATCTTGTCATCCTGAAAATATTTCTTTTAAAATGGAAGCTTTGTTGATGTGGACGATTTGATAATTACAAGCAGAAAATAAATATAGTGATTTCTTTGCTGATAGATATAGGTTTGATTGATATAGGTACTATAAGCTGTCTAGAAAAGCCACTGATAGTACTGGGGAGAGGCAATAGTTATGACATAGAAAAAAATGTCTGAGAAGTCAGGTTTGGGCTGCTAGGTGTCAAAGAGCACCAAGATACCATTCTCAAAAATGCTACCTGTTCCATTTGCAGGACCAGAGTAGTTCAGGGATTTCAGTGCATGTAGGAGACAACAAGAGGAGTTTAGATTTAGACAGAAGACAGAAAAAAGGTTGAAACAGGTTCATGACAACAACATTTGAAAAAAAACATAACAGGTAGAAGTTTCTCCACCAATTTCAGATGTCTTCTAGCCACGTTTGGTGGTGGTCATGTGGAATTAGAGTTCCTGGCTGTGAATAAAAACAAAGATATAGTGGGTATAAAAGAAAGCAGTGGAACAGGTAGAACTGAGGGGATATGTCTATTCCTGGATAAACAAAACAAGGAAGGATACTGGAGAAAAGGTGGTTAGTTGTTACTAGAAAATATTGAAAGGCCCAATCCCTGAAAGAATCTTTATTGATGGCCACAAATGTAAATTAGATCTAGGGATATACTTACCTAGTCAAAAAGCTTAGGGCAGGGGTGTCAAACTGCCGGCCCACAGGCCGGATGCGTCATGCCAAAACTGTGCCCACCCCATTGCTGGCAATGGGGAAAAAAATGAGATACATCGCAACACGTCATGTGACGTTGCGAGTTTGACATCCCTGACTTAGGGTGATCTTGATTTAGTGAAGAATATAAGAAAGCATTACAATGAGAGGTAGAATTAATGGAAACTTCAGCTGAGGCTGGGGAGGGAGACCTGCAAAGTATATAGGCAAAATATATATGTGGATAGACCTTATTATTAGGGGAACTGCTTTCTTTTTTTACTTGTATCTTTGAGGCCACACATTACAGTTTCCATCTGCTTTCCCAACTCAAAACAGAAAAAAAAAGCCTATTTTCATCAGATGTCCTAGGACGGGGTGTCAAACTCACCATGTCACGTGATATGTCACAACGTATCGCGACTTTTCCCCCATTGCTGGAGTTGGGGTGGGCACGGTTTTGGCATGACGCATCCTGCCCGCGGGCCAGCAGTTTGACACCCCTGTGGACCTAGGTCCTCCAAGAACCACAAAAAGGAGATTTGAAGACCTCATGTTTCCTGGAGTCAGTGGTTGCCTATTCCTGCCTTATATCTTGTTTCTTTACAAATTAAATGACTATTGATTGCATCTAGATCTAGATTACTTTTTTGTCATAATTTTAATTTTATTTAATATATAAAATACAAAGAAAAATAGAAATAGAAAATTAAGAAAAGGAGAAGGGAAGAGAAGGTGTGAGGTACAATTGAAAAAAGAAAAAAAAAAGGCGTTGACTTCTGACTCCCTTTAGCACAGTACAAGATAAAAACATTCCAGCCTCAACTTTTGGCTTTTACATATTAATATATAACCAGCCATTTCTATAATGACAAATCTATCTAATTGACAAAACCAAAGTCAAAGTTTCATTTTTTTCATCACAAGCACAAAGTCCAGAAATGATATCCAAATGAAAAACATACTATATATTCTCCTCTTTGAACAGAATAATCAATTTAACCATTCCTGTTTTATCTTCCTTGCTGTGGAAATAGTATGTATTTCTATTTGCATCTAATGATCTTTGTAAACTATCACCATTTTTATTAACAAAGTGAACTATATACTTTCAAATTCTTTGACCTCGCCAGAAAAAAAATACTTTTTCCCCTTTTCCACATTTTTTAAAGCTAAACTTTCTTTAAACACATTTTTAGAATCAAAATTTTCTAATACATCTTTTTCTTAACTTCTTAACATACAGGCGTTGAACTTCAGTATTGAATTTAGCTCCTCCCCTTCAAACTACCCTTATAGAATAATATTTATTTTCCCTTTTATAAACATCCTTTTTAAAACACAAAAGTTTTTCTTTAAACTGGTAAATCATTTTCTTTAACTTTCTCTTTACTCAAGAATTCTCAAATACATTTTCAGTAACATTTTGCATAGTTTAAAAATTACTTAAGCATTATATATATACTGCTCAAAAAATAAAGGGAACACAAACGTATAGGATCCTATACATTTGTGTTCCCTTTATTTTTTTTGAGCAGTATATATTAAAAATTACATTTTCAAATTTTAGATTAAAACTTTCTTTCAATTACAAATATCAAACAGAAAACTCCATTCTAGATCCAGTTAACTCATTAAGTTTAAGTTACTCCTTCTAGCTTGTCTTCATGGAGTAGAATCATTGTCTTCTCTGGAAAATTTATCAAGTAGTTATAAGCCTCCCTTTTTAATCACAGATTTCTCAACCTTGTCAATGTCCTTAAAGAAAAGGTCCCAAATTTGTCTTTTTAAAAAGTTGCCAATTTTCTTGACACTCTTCTTTCAATTGTGTCAAGGGATTTATACTTAAACCATCATAATAAAAGTTAATGGCAGGTTTGTATTCCAAATTTGCGCTGAACTCCTCTGTGTGAACTCCTCTACTTATGAAGCTGCCTGAGTAGTTCGGTAACTTTCTGCACATGCTTGCATCTCTAGAGTAATGTTGAGAGGTTTTTTTTTATCTTCTAGATCTAGATTGCTTTTGTAAGATTAAAAAAAATTAAGGTAAACATTATTATTACAGGTCCTTGTTCAGCAATCACCCATTCAGCGATCATATGAAGTGCTGAACAAGGAGACTTATGACTGGTCCTTGTAGTTGCAGCCTTTGTGGCATTCCTGCAGTCACGTGATCACAATTCAGTCACCACTGAATTGGCTCACAGTTACAACGTTACAGTGTCCTGCGGGCACAGGATCATCATTTGTAACCTTCACCACTGGCTTCTAACAAGCAAAGTCAGTGCGGAAAATGGCAGGAGGTCATAAATGGCAATCACATGACGTCACAATGACCATCTGGATTCGCCTAACGACAGCAACTGGAACTGCCAGAATTGAAGTCTGGTATGGTCATGTGATGCTTTGCTTTATGACAGTGTGACTTAGGAACTGGTCCAAATTACTACAGTTAACCAAGGGCTCTCAAAGCCTTGTCTAAGTAAATCCACCGCCCTCCCATTTCAGAAATCATTGATCCAAAAAGTTGCCATTTTAAAAACTTGGCCCAATATCCTTTGTGAGGGTAAATGTAGATAGTTTTGCTATTTATTATTGTTTGATACTATTGATAGCTACCGCTGCTTTATGAAGGAACAAGGGAGGGCTGGAGGAGGATAGATGGATGGATGGATGGACGGACAGACAGACATTGTAAGATAGGATATATACTGAAGGTAAACATTTATTGTAAACTCAGTCAATCAACACTTTCCTTCTTTGTTTTGTTCTAGTTTGTAATTGTTTCATTTTGGAGTATATATCTTTATGATCGGGAACTTATTATCCCAAAATCTATGGATTCACTTTTTTCTGAATGGATAAATCATGGAATGGTGAGTAAAAAGAAAAAAGCTGAATATAATAAAAATAATCAGAATAAACTATGCATATTATTCCAGATAATTATTCAGATTTAGGTTCATTTATTTCCATAGTCAGTGGCTCACAATTTGCTATAAAAAGTTAACCAGACAAGCTTCAGATTGGTAGAATCATGGCCAGATTTTGCAATTTTTGATTTGTAGAGTTCATTTTCTCTCTTTAACTTTAACTATTTTTATATGCAAAAAGTGGGAGTGTGGATTGCCATAGAAGCCTTGAAGCTCTGGAGGAAATGTTAGTAGATCACTCCTTGCCAAATTTAAATCGATGGAAAAATGTGAATTCATGACATGAGTGGCAGAGATAACTTTTCTAGGTTTTATTGCAGTTCACAGGTTTTGCTGTGAACTGAATTTATATAAATACAGAAAGACTGAGAATACAAATGGTTGTTGTTTGGCATCATTTGGGAAGGAATGAAACAATCTAAAATCTATAGTATAAGCCAACTAAGGTTTGTAGCGACAACAAATGAGGATACTAAAGGATTAATATAGTAATCATTTGTGAAAGCTGATGCTGTCCATTTTATGTTCTGATAATCTAAATTTAATGTTTAAACTGGTATGCTATTAAACAAAGCCAAGCAGGAACAACAGGTAGACAGATTCTTTGCTGGTCAAAGGCAAGAAGGCTTCCAGCAAAACAGGAGCTATAGGTAGGTGCTGTATTAACAATCCTTGTAGGGTCAATGTTAATAAAGGTTTGTATGAACTTTAGTCATAAAAGTCCATCCATCAAAGACAATCATTCCTGGATTTTTAAAATCTTCTCTGCCATAGCTACTGGCTATTGATTCTTAACTCAGGATGATGACAACAATACATGCCATAACCTCCTCTCTCCAATTTGTATAACATACCAGGGTGCACAAATGTACACCATGTGCACAAAATGTATAACACTGGAATGTTATAGAAATCAATTTCCATCAGCTGGAGAATTGGCTCTGAGGAAGATGATCAGTGAGAATGGGTAGAATACTAAAACATACATTTTGACTTCTGAATTGGACTGGTCTAGGCCTGTTGTAGTTTTAGCTGTTTTAGTAGGCAATATACTTCGGCAGCTGAAGTATTAGACTAGCACTAATATTAGAATGAAATTTAAATCACTTATTCTGGAAGCTTACTTGGTTATTAGGGGTAATCATTTTCTCAAAGGCATTATGATGACAAAGTTATTTTCATGTGTCAGAATACAGTATAAACATAAGAAATAATAAAATAATCTTTAAGCTGGTTTAGTTACACAGAGGCCAGAGTAATGTTAAAATGTTTGGTGGGATATACCGAAGAGTGGAAATAATATCACTGAGAACTTTTTGCGGGTTCTGTGGTCCCAAGTCTTGTATCTTCTGATACTGGAAGCAGCTTGCTATTGTACCAGTATTACCAGTACCTTTTTGATTACAAAAGAAAAACTGAGAAAATAGAACATCCCTGTTGTGCAATTGGCACTAAGCAGTGAGTGGAATGGCAAGATTCCTTTTTAATGAAACAAGGGGTGGACTGGATCAGCCCTCTTTGGAGGACATTGAGAATTTAATTATTGCCTGCTTTCTTTGGCGGGATTGGGATCCCCTTTTATGTTATTTATATTGGAAAGGAAATGTCCACTGACATCACTGGAAAATGGGAGCAGATGCAACCCGAAGAATTTAGAATTCATGAATAAGTCATAGGAGGCTTTTTTTCAGAAATAGAATGAAATCCCTCAAAAAGCAAATTATTCCATATTAATTATTCAATTTATGAAAGGAGCTAAAGGGTGGATTCTTTGGCTATAATATATTTATTTCATACTTTAAAAACAAATGCATAATAGTACTAAAAGCCCATTCTAAACAGCAAGCTGGAAAAAAAATTAGAAAGGACAAAACACAGCTACATTGCTCAAGAACTTGTCTCTTTTACTGTTGAGTATTTGAGGCATCCCAGAAATGCACTGCCAAAAGCCAATGAAAGAAGAAAGCAGATATTCTTGGGAAGTTATCTTCTGCATTCATTTTTTCCACCAAAATACACTAACAAACCTAAAATACACTCACATGCCCAGAGTCAGAAATATTGCCAAAAAGAGTAGTGAAGAAATGGCTTTAGCACCTACTGCATTGGTATTATTCCTGCAATCCACAGATCAGCTTCCCCCTGTAAGAATGAATTATAGAATCTGGGTGCTACATCTGGAGAGTGCCACCCTATTCATCTTCACAAGAAATACAAATCAATTCATGAGTGCCAATCATTTCCCACTGTTTCCTCCATTTTTCTATCACATGTGCTGGTTGTGGCAACAGTGCTTCCACCAGCAAGCCACCATCTCCTTCCTTCCCAAAAATGTCTTACAAATAATTTAATTTTTTTCCCAAGAAGAGGGTATATTGCGAGATTCAGAATATCTTTGTTTTCATAATCTGCACTGGCTGTTTTATATCTAGTTATGGTACCATAATGCAGTCTTGCTCCTCAAATGTTTGACTACCGTAAATGCCGGCGTACAAGGCGACCCGGCGTATAAGACGACCCCCGTCTTTATAGCCAGGCCGCATTCCTAGAACGTCGTCTTATACGCCGGAAACTACCAGTATTTCCGGCGTATAAGATAACTCGGCGTATAAGACGACCCCCGTCTTTGGCGCCGATTTCAGCGCTCACGGAAGCTGCCTTATACGCCGGCATTTGCGGTAATTTTTAAAAAATACTTTTTCTTCCTTTCATTGTCTTTTGATACAAGATAACGACAAATAAACCTACAACAAGGATAAACAAAGACAAATACTAAAGACAATTAGTAAATAACAAAATAAAACAGAACAGAACCAAGAAACAGAAGGGAAACAAACTTTTCCCCAAATTAAAATAACCCAAAGAATTAAAAATATCAGTATTAAATATTTATGTGATCAGAAATGAAAACAAAATGTTTCATGATATTTTACAACAGGTTAGTATTTTAAATGTTTTGTTGAAAGAAAAATCTTCAGGTCGAGATCCAAGCTGGGAGTAAACAAAATGGAGGCTGCTTGGAAAGAAGTTTCTTGTTTATTGAGTTGCCAGAAACTTCAGTGACACAGCGAGTTTCTGGGGTGGCTGATAAAATGGAGCTGGGAGTTGGTGGGTTTTTATACCTTTTTGGGATTTTGTATTTGGAGTTGTTCTTATTTGAGGTTGTTCCTGTGTCATATGTTTTGACTTGAGCTTTTGATATTCTAATGGTGGTGGATTAATCCTATTATGTTCTGAAGGCCATATTCCTGTCCTTGGGAGTCTTTGTTTTCCTAATCCCATCAGCTCAAACCTTCTCTGGGGCTGTGGCTGAAGGCATTTTGCTTATGAATTTGTTGTTGTTGTTAATTGCGAAGTCGTGTCCGACCCATCGCGACCCCATGGACAACGTTCCTCCACGTCTTCCTGTCCTCTACCATCTTCTGGAGTCCATTTAAGTTCACACCTACTGTTTCAGTGACTCCATCCAGCCATCTCATTCTCTGTCGTCCCCTTCTTCTATTGCCCTCAATCTTTCCCAGCATTAGGCCCTTCTCCAGTGAGTCCTTCCTTCTCATTAGGTGGCCAATGAATAGGTGGCCCCAAATCTAAAAGCTGGCCTGCTCAGTTTCTGCCTGGGGAAACTTGGGCAGAAAAGCCTTTTAAGAATTTTTCCTCCATTATTCGTTTGGGGAAATATAATATTTTGCCTTTTCCAATATTCCCCCAAATATTTCCTTCTCTAGGAGGGTGGGTGGGTGCTGACTTCCAACAGTTTTATTACCCTTTTCCAGTGATTCTACACATTAAATATATATATCTGCTAATGTGTTGGAGGCCTCAGGTGTGGAGGGTACCAGATTGAGCATGTTTGTATCGGAAGCGCCTATTCAAGGCCCTTTCAGGTTGAAAGGATTACCCGGTGACAACACCGTTGCCCAGGGGATGCATGAGGAGGCTCCTTTCATGCCCTGGCTACTTATTTATTCACGGGCATTCGTATGCTTTTGAGCTGCTTGGTGGGCAGGAATTGGGACAAATTGACGGGAGCCCATTCCGTCACCCGGCTGGCTGTTGGGTTTTGAGCAAGGCTAACATAATAAATTAAAAACGTGGCAGGAAGCCAAGTTCGTCAAATGAGGTTTCAGAAAATTCTGTGGTAGCTCCTTGAAAATAATTATAGTCAAGGTTGCGCATCGTCAGTTTCTCCAGAAATGCCAATTGACAAGTCAGCCAGTGATGGTGAATATGATGCGTGCCCCTTTCCTCTGTAATAGGCACCATAGATATCCCAGAGCCTTTTAGTTGTTTGGAAACCTGTGATAAAAAAATCTTAGAAACACTGCTTTCCCTCCCAGAATTAAACATACAACAAAATGCTATTTTTAACCACTAATGATAACTGTAATAATTTTGATACCAGTAATTTGACATACTACTGGTGTAGAAGATTGGACACAGCTTAAATTGGACAGTTCAGGTCATGATTCCAAGTTACCTGCCTGTGTATGAGATAAAAAGACAGCAGTAACAGAGCTCAGGTAGTCTTGGATTTACAACCATAATATGGAGCCCAAAATTTCCATTGTTAAGCAAGACAGTTGTTAGCTGAGTTTTGCCCCATGTTCCGACTTTTCTTGCTGCAGATGTTAAGCGAATTGTGGCAGTTGTTAAGTTAGTAATATGTTTGTTAAGTGAATCCTTCAACGGGCAAAAAGCTGAATCCACTTGGACTACGCTATCCTTATTGCCAGTCCCTCGGTGGCCTCTGTTCTCAGTCACTGCGTTCACCTATTTCCTCCAAAGTAATAAAGCTTAACAGATTTTATATCCTTTAAAACTTGCTCTTAGCTAATGTCAGAATAAGGAATAAAACACTACCTTAACACTGATACAGTTAAGGATAACGTAAGTCTGTCTCGCATACAGACTGGAAAAAAGATGAAGGTAACCTCATGGGGATGTGGCATAAGACAGATACTGCCAGGACATTAGGTACAAATGACAATGAGAAAGATCCTAAGCGTGCATCCTAAAATAGCCCGCAGCATTATGACAGACATGCAGATGCAGATAGTCTTTATTTAGTGACCACAATTGGGACCGGCAACTTGGTTGTTAAGCAAAGCAGTCACTATGCGAAATTGCAATGGTGCTTATGGTCTTACTTCAGCTTTCCTTTGCTTTACAAAGAGGCAAAGGTTATAAATGTGTAAAGTTACTTTTTCAGCATGGTCATAACTGAAGAGTTGCTAAATGAGGCAGTTGCTAAACAAGGATGGAACAACCTCAGTGGTGGGATTCAAATATGGGAACCACCACTTCTGGTCCTGTGCAACAAAAAATTGGCTACCGGTTCTGCCGAACTGGCGCAAACTGGCTGAATCCCACCACTGACTACCTTGTACCATCATTGCAAACAAATCAAACTTTAAAGTCTTTCCCTTAGGAGTAACAAAGCAGTCCATCTTTGAAGAAAATGTTAAGTCTTCTGCTCAAGTATTTCACTGCACATAAATTGAATCTGTTATTATCCTTTCATAAAACCTCAGAGCAGCAGGTACTGAATAAAATAAACCTTTTTTAAATGAATAAGTAAATAATACCTCTGTTATGATAAATAAATAAAAGCAAGGTAATACAGAGCTCATCCTGAAAGAAAGTGTCTGTGGTAAATTTCTTCATGGGTTTTGTTTGTTTACAGCGAGAGATGCCTTGTTTAGATCAGGTTTAGATCAGGTTTTCCCTTCTCTGTTTTATTATCAGGAGGAGTATCCCAGTATGATAATAATTTTCTCTTTTTGGTTTTTTTATTTGTTACAAGTAAATGAAAAATAAAACTGATAATGAAAACTGTAAAAATGAGTCACCACACCATTTTTATCAACCCTCAAAGATTGATGACAGTTGAGGCATAATTGCGAAGATTTGCTTTTTAAACAGCTTTTTTTTTTAATTTGCTCAAAATACAAAGCTTGCATTTATTTGAATGAATGGTAAATTAAACAATATGTTATCATGGAAATGAAGTTAATTGCTTTTAATGGCTCATGGTGTGTAATTTGACTAAAGTTATATTAAAAATTGCTATGAGAAGGGACCAGTTTCCAGAGAAGAAAACAAAACGCATTTAAAGGGCTTTCAACTAGCTTTGAGCCGCAGTATATGGTCCATTACTAATGTCATTTCTACAGTCAGTTTTCTATTGTCTAGCAAAAGAGGAGAGCTAATTAAAAGCCATTGGCAAATAGAAAACTTTGCAATAAGTGCCCAATCATGCAATGATTGTGGTCTTGGGCTGTATCAACGTTAATCACTGTGAACTAATTTGCCATTGTAAACTGCATTGTTCTTTCACTTTATACTGTTAAGAATGAATAAAACCAAAATGAGGCAAACTTAAATGATTTTTTAAAAAATTCTTGCCCAGCTCAGCTTAACCATCCAGAAATCTTTTGTTTATTTAGTTTTATAAATACCATTCAACCCTTTCAGATGTTCCTTATGTACACATATAGTAATAATACAACATATACCTGATTGGTTAAAGTGAGGTCAGAAATAAAGAAGGGACTGTAGAATCTAGAAAGATGCTTTTTGGTGACTTCATAGATTCACTTGTACACACATTTCTTGGCGAACAGCGATGGTTTGCTGTTTTCTTCTGGGAGTATTTAATTCTCATCCAAGTACTAACCAGGCTCAACATGACTTTGCTTCTGAATCAAGGTAAGCCTGGTCAGTTGCTGCCATCTGGAGGTTTTGGATAGAAGAATTATAAAGTTTTTTAAAGGTACACTTCTTCTTTCAGAAGGATTTTTATTCTACAATTGCCCTACCATATTCGTAGTGTTATCCTTAGAACCCAGAGGACTACAACTTCTCTTTGAAACTCTCCCACTTCCTTCCTTTAGTTTTTCATTTAAAAAACCACATTAAGGAGGAAAAGATGGAAGAGTTCCACATTATTATTATTATTTTTTGTTGGTACCTCTACAGATTCTGTGGAATATCTCTGTGGGCTATCGGGCTAGCCACACTCCCCTATATCTTTGCCACTTACATGAACATATAATTCTGCGCTACTAGGCGGATTGTACTTTTAATTTTTTGGATCACAAATACAATTAGTCTAAAACACTGTCTTTTTTCCAGCACACTTTGGTATTTCCTTTGGGCCTGGTAGAAATGGTTGTTGTCCCTCATCAGTATTCATCAGTGGGTAAAAGCCTCAGCATCTTAGGAATGACTGCACTGGGCTATCAACTTTGGTAAGTTTCTGAAAATATAGAAATAAAGGGATTTGTGTTTACATGATGTTTAGCAAAAAGCGAGGAAACAATTCTTGTTCTCATCTAATTGAATATCCAGCCTGAGTATCCGCAACGGATGCAACTTCCGCCTCTCCCTCCTGCAAGGAAAAAAATATATCCTCAAATGCAGCTAGAGTGAACTCTGATCTGATCTTGAGGGACTTTGGAACTGCATTATACAGCCCTTACTTAAGTCACATGAGGGGACAATCAACTCCTAAACTTGTTCAGATTATTCATGCTGGTCATCTTATTGCTATTCCATAGTACCAGTTTGCACAAATCACTGCCTGTACAAGTTTTGCTCTTTCAAACTTCCCTCAAAACTTCTGTTTTAAACCAAAGATGGGAAATACCTCCTGCTCCTCTTTACGTTGCAAAATTATACTGTAGCACCTAGCATCTACAGCAAACATAGCTTAATCATGGCAGTTGCAATTTATGGAAGGTAGCATATTCCCAACCCTGCTTCAAATAGAAAGTTTACATGAGTTTTCTTGAACATAGTACCCATCAGACGTATTGAACTACAGCTTCCTTAGAACCTTGAATTATGGGATCTGTAATCCAACACAGAGAATGGTACTTAGGGAAATTTATTTTAAAGGGGTTTTCTTCCCCACATGTATTGAAGGAAGTCTCTAAACTAGGTTAGAAGGAGGAGAAAGAGACTAGCCTAGCAATACTAGTTGTTATTTAGATATCTGGTGTTTTTAGCCAGCTTAACAGTTAACTAAATGAACTGGTTGCTTCTGGAAGCAGATACTGGACAGTGGAATAACATGATGTAATAGTGACAGAACTGTGGCTTACCATCAGCCTGCTTTGCATCTCCTCAGATGTATTGGGTCATTCCCAGATTTGAAATGCTGGTTGGCTTCTACATCTAAAATTAGGTTCTAACATTATCGGCTCCTTTTCTTTTGGTATCAGATACATTAGGACAGCTCTATTTTCTGAGTCACAGACAGGGACACGAACGTGGAAATAAAGAAAGTAAAAGCTGCACAGAATGTTTCCAAAAGTTGCCCCTGAATTATAAAAAGAAATGGAACAGAAAAAGAAAATGATCACATGCATAAAAAGGCAAATTGTGAAATAAAGGGAGGGGCAAGCTTTTGTGGTACAGGTGCTCTGGAAGCTCACAACGGGATCACTCACAAAACTGCTATCAAGATATTCTCAAAACACTCAGTAATCAGAATGGGGGCCTAGTCTACCAGAGTATCATCTGTAATCTTAGTGGGGACTATTACGGCACTCAAAGGCATTCCTGCAAATACATTTTAAGCTAGAAGTTGATGCTTTGCTTTGCAGCATGAAGCTTCCTATTTAAACTTCTTTTCACTGAATGAATACATAGAGAAATGAAGTGGGATGGGTATACAAGAAGTCCTTGAGTTACGACTATAATGGAGCCTGCCCGTTATAGGTGAAGGTTGCGAGGATGTTAAGTCAATCATATTAGGCGAATGAGCCCCCATCCTGGCTCTCCCCAATGCATTTGTTAAATGAATGCATGGGTCATTAACTGCGAATGGAGTTTCTTGGGTTGGGAAGATCATGGGGGCTGAGTGTTTGAAAGGTAACTGAGTGATCGTTGACAGGCGGGTGGGACCTGGCAGGGGAAATAGGTGGGGATGGCTTGTTGCAGCATCTCTGTAGTCGGCTGTAAAGGTGAATGACCACAAGGGGGCTGCAACATATGTAACTTCAGGGCTGAGTCGTAAGTACTTTGTGGCGGGGGGTGTCTGTCATAACTCTGAACTGTTGCTAAATGACCTGTCATAACTCAAGGACTACCTCTATCGAGGGACGCTTCTAGGAGCACTTGGATGCCTGGAAGCATCTTATTGCTTTGCCCTAATGTGGAGTACACTTGTTCATTTTATTTAATTCATTTCAAGAACAATTTAACTTTAAAATTAAAATTAATTGGCCCCGCCCCACGCTGGCTGAGGAAATCTGGGAGTTGAAGTCCACAAGTCATAAAAGGGCCAAGTTTGAAGACCCCTGGCTTAGTGTATCAAAAGGATCACAGATCCCATGGAACTGAGGATCAGTTGATCTCATCCTCAGTGAGGTCATTACCTCTTTGGAAGTCTTTCTGGCTGAAAGGTAAGAATATAAATTCTGTATTGGATGGATGGACGGATGGATGACAGTTGCACAAGCTTAGACAGTTGATGTATTGATCCTTGGGTTAATCATTATTAGAAAGAATATTCTAACTATAATTAAACTTGAACCAATTAATCATGTTTGTTTCATAATGAGATATCCTAACTGAAAAAAATTAATTCCCTTTCTAGGGTCCTCTACTATTTTGCTAAAACAGGCAAATGGTTATATCCTTTCTTCGAGTTCTTAAGTCCACTTGGCATCATAGTGTTTGCAGGGATTGGTCTTGTCACCCTTTTCTTTTACTACATGTTAGGAAGATTTCTCAACCGCATGATTTGGGGTGAGTCTAATCTTGCAAAGAAATCCTTCAAAGTTATCAGTACACATTTGATTATGTTTTGATCCAGATTGCTGTCCATTTGTCATCGTTTTTCAGATACAGGTTGATTTGTACATTCATTTACTTCACCAAACCTCACTCTCTCTCCCCCCCCTCTTTTTTTTCTCCTGAGAGAGTTCATTCATTCCTCAATTCAAATTTTTAATGAAAAAATGAGACTTTAAAAAATAGCAAGCTATGATAAATATACTCCTCAAAGTACAGGAAACATTCCTGTACTGTATATTATCTAGCAAATGAAAATAAGACCTTGCTAGGCTGAATAAATGGGCTAATCAGCATAAAACTAGAATGTTTTATGAGATCTAGATTAGAGTCTCCTGCTGTGTCCCACTACAGGGAAAAGTAGTTTAATTCTTAGCCAAGTGTTGCCTATTTGTGGGTAACAAAAAGTCCATTTTCTAGCAAATGGTTTCTTTTGCTGCAGGCTCAATTCTCTATTTGTATATAATACTAAGACAGGACTTGTTGAGCAATTCTTATTGATATTGTTCCCTAGATAGAATGGGTGGGTTCACATATCATGCTAAACCAAACAAATGTTTAGTTCTCCATTCAGCAGCCATGCTGAGAAGTGAGCAGAGGTAAGAATATATATCTATTTACTAAGTCCCATTTCCACAATTTATCTTTTTCATTACATATGAAAGTCAGCAGCACTACCAAATTTTGTTCAGTAGCTGTCAATTGTAGTGACTCCTCTTTGGCATATAGCAAAATTATGTTGTGTTTAAATCTTCATTTTTTTCATTTTTTTTCCTATTTTTGTTTAACTTTCCATGCCTTTCTACAGGTGACACAGTTCCAGTACTTGATGTTTACAAGAAGAAAAGCAAATGAAAAGCTGATGGTGTCATCAGGGCTTTTTTTCTCATAGAACGCCCAGAACGGAGTTCCGGCACCTTTTTTGGATGGAACCTTGTAGGGTAGGCAAGGCGGGTTGTATGACGTGTGTGAGTTCCGGCACCTTTTTTTTTTTTTTTTTAGAAAAAAACACTAGTTGTCATCCCAAGATCTAGATCAGGGATGTCAAACCTCCGGCCCACAGGCCGGATGCATCATCTGGAAGCCGTGCCTACCCCATTGCCTGCAATGGCAAAACCGTCCGATACGTTGCGCGATGTCACGTGACTCGCGAGTTTGACATGTCTGATCTAGATAGATGATGAAACTAAGAAAATTGCTACAAAATCTCTCTGTATAAAGCCAAAATAAATTCTTTAGAATAAAAAGTTCTGCCAGCACAGATGAACAGAGGTCCAGGAAATACTATGAAGGAAGATTGCCATTGGCTAGAGAATTCAAATTGTTATATAGGATGATCAGAACCCACTGAGAGACAAATATAACACAGATGACTAACATGATTTTGTCACCCAAGTGTATAACAATTGAGGCAAAATTCTAATTTTTCATTCAAATGCAATTATAAAATTATTTAGATATATTTATAGCCATATTCTTTATTCAACAAGCGCTTGTATAAATTACTAGACTGTAACTGAACAAAACACCCTAAGTCAGTCATGTATTTTTTTATGATAATTGGCTTTGTGTAATATGAAATCTGAGACTATAAAATGCTCAGTGTTAAATAATAGATAAGAGAGTCTAGTAAGGCAGCTGAGGCCCACAAAAATAGCTAGAATGAATTAGGATTATTTTAAGGATAAAATGGAATAACATTTGATCTTCTTCTTGACCTCTTTAGATGAGCCCAAGGTACAAATACAATAATTTAGGAATTTATATATAGGTAGTACTCACTTAATGACAGTAATTGGGACCCAAATTTCTACTGCTAAGTGATGAGGTCATAAAGAATGATGTCATGTGACTGCATCGCTTAGCAGTGGCAATCCAACCAGTTGCCATGTTGCTGTCGTTAACCAAAGATTGTCCAGGTTGTTAAGTGAGAACAATGATCTCACATGATCAGGACTTCTGACTTCCTACCAGCTCCTCCACTGACTTTGCTTGTGTGGAAGCCAACTGGAAAGGTTGGACATTACAACTGCACATTGGGGTGATATTTCAACAACTGGAAATCCTGGCTGGTTGACATAATACCACTTTAGAATGCCTTGGTAAGGCCACACTTGGAATACTGCATCCAGTTTTGGTCACCACGATGTAAAAAGGATGCTGAGACTCTAGAAAGAGTACAGAGAAGAGCAACAAAGATGATTAGGGGATTAGGGGTAGTCCTCATTTCATTACCTAACGGAGACTGCCAAGTCCCTCATTAAGTGAAGCAATTGCTAAATGGGAAATCATGTGAACATATGTTTTCAGACTTGAAGACTACTAAGTTTCATGGCTTCAAGTTTTCCTTTGCCTCTTAACCATTCCCTTTGGAATGCTCAAGTGCCTGGTTATTGTCTTGTACACTCGGAAAGCAATGTGATCACAATGGCAGCCTGTGACTGGGAACCCACAGCACATTACACAAACAGCTTATTCTCTTGAAACCTCTTCCTCTCCAATCTCTCTGCTATGGTAGGAAAGAAGAAAGGGGGGGGGGGAAACACAGGTCAAGCACATGACAACACATACTGATGTAATGGTGATCGCATGATGGACGGATGCTGCAAAAGTCATAAATTGGCCGTAAAATTATCTTTTCAGCATCATTGTAACTTTGAATAGCTGCTAAACGAGTGGTTGATAAGTGAGGACTACCTATAAAAGAGGAGAAATTGCAGTTCTTTTAGAGATAGTAATCAGATGATTATCAATCTGATAAGCAAACTCTATAGCAGTGATGACGAACCTTGTAGAGACTGAGTGCTCAAATTGCAACCCAAAACCCACTTATGCATCATCGGGTGCTGGGTAGGTGAGGCCCATTAGATGGATGTGGTCCATTGGGTGGGTGTGGCCCATTGGGTGGCGTGGTTGCGGTGGTAATGGCAGACTGGGTGGGACTAAAAAGTTCAATCAATTCCAACTTTGCAAGATCTTTTTTTTTCTGCGAGAAGTTGAAATTGACTGATTGAACTTTTTTTTTTTTACACGGTGGCGGAGGCCTAAAACGAAAAGGTTTTATAAAACCCAGCTGAAGGCCTAGGACTGGGGCAAGGCGTGCATGCCCACAGAGAGGGCTCTGAGTGCCGCCTCTGGCACCCGTGCCATAGGTTCACCACCCCTGCTCTATAGGTTGAGTTTGCAATGTGTGTGACCAAGACTTCATTATGTTTTCCTTGAAAATTATTATTCATTGGAATTTAGATGAATGACAGATAATTTTTATGTACACCTTAAATGTATAAATATCATGGCTCCACCTCCCCAGTATTTAGCTTTTTGAAAATTAAATACTAACTTTAAGGCTTTTTCAATCTTTTGATTATTTTGGCCATTATTTTTGCACCTTTTCCAGTTATATAAACTTGGTTGTTTTTTAATGTCCAGGTGAAACAAAATTTAAGAGGTATCTGATGTAAATGAACACATTCTTAGTTTATTCACAGGTCTAAAAGATCCTCATATTCTCTTTGTCAAGCTATAGTTTTAAAAAAAAGTGATTCAAGAGCAACTTTTTAGCACCATCTATTGGTGAAATGGTGACATTACTTTTCAAGCAGACTTTCAGCCCATAATTAGCACTGTTTACACCTACATAATTATTTATCCTGAAGCCTAGTATCCATAACCAGGAGCAAGTAGATTTATTTATTTGTTTTATCCCACTTTTATTATTTTTACAAATAACTCAAGGTAGCAAACATCCAATAGCTTCCACCTCCTATTTTCCCCACAGCAACAATCCTATAAGGTAAATTAGGCTGAGAAGAACTGCCCAAGGTCACCCACCTGGCTTTCATGGACTAAGGTGAGATTTGAACCAACAATCTCCTGCTTTCTAGCCCGGTGCCTTAACCACTAGACCAACCAGCAAGAGTTGGAACATGGGAGGGAGAAATTATGTCTAGACAACTTCAGTGCCTCACCCTTTAAATCAGAGGTCCCCAACCTTTTGGGCACCAGGGAGAGAGGTTTTATTGTGGACCAGAGGGTATGTGGTTTTGTGTGCTGCTTGCATCTCGCAGATGAGGCTTTGGTTGTTTGTGCGGACTGGTTGCTGGCATATCGCAGCCCGGTACTGGTTCACGGACTGGGGGTTGGGGACCCCTGCTTTAAATGATGGAAGAAAATGTTTCATTCCAGTGAAAATTGACTTCCTAATAATCTCATGGACACATCTGTATAGCTTTCTTGGCAGATCACACAGAAATTGTTTTCCATGTGGCACAGTCTTCTTCTAGAATATCTTTCAATATCCCAAATTATAGGCCTGGAATGCCCTAGGGCAGGGGTAGGCAACCTTGGCTCTTTTATGACTCGTGGACTTCAACTCCCAGAAATTCTGGGAGTTGAAGTCTATGGTCATAACAGCCAAAGTTGCCTACCCCTGCCCTAGTGATCTCCCATCCAATTATTAAACCAAGTCTGACACTGCTTAGCTTCTCAAATCCAGTCAAGCTGATCAATTTCTGCTGCTACTAAGACTGAACTGAGAGCTATTCTCAAAGTAAATAATTTCTCATGTTTTATTTTTATTTTTAAACAATCCTGGAAATAGTTTTGGCTAAACTATTCAAATTCCTTGAGTTCTGATTCTTTTCCACTGCAATGTTAGGCAAAATTTGATAGTAACAGTTATATTCAGGGTATAGAAATATATAGTGAATATACCGTATGAGTTTCCCATTTCTCTCTTTATTTTCTTCTGTCTCTTCCTTATGACTAGGTTGTTGGAGTTTAAGACCTCAGTGTGTAAAAAAAAGAAAGAAAAAAGTGATGTAACATGGAAAGTATTTTAGGGCAAGAGCATGCATGAAGAAAGTTGTGGATGCAAAGCTAGACTTTAATATTTTTTTCATGCTGCAGCTGACATGCCCGAAATTCCCATAGAACTGCTTTAGGATTACACTATTCAGGCTTCTATCATTAGGCCACCTCATGGAGCAGTTTTTGCAGGGCAGGATCGATGACTTCTTGAGTGACCAAGTGATATCTGCATCCCCAGAGACAACTTTCCCAAATGACCCTTGCCCTGTTCTCAGATGTGGCTGAGAATATAGCACCCAAACTATTTGTTCTGTAATAAGGGCGACCTTTTTGGATTGCAAAAGATCTGCAGACCGGCATAAATGACATTCTTGTCCACGATGCTCTCTCTTTGGAGGGCTCTCTTGTCCCTGGCAGGATGAAAGATTCTAGATAGCCTAGAAATCTATTTAAATAAATAGTCATCCTTAAGGAAGATGCAGTTCTATTAGAATAGGCAGGAAATCTGCATCCATTCATTTTATTTAGGCTTAAAAAGGGAACTGCTTTTTTAGAGCGTGACTATTATTCATAGAGTTCTTTTGGTTAGCATTTTGAATGACTGTTTTTCATACATTTTTATTAAGGTTGCCAACTCTCTGCTGAGCATAGGGTTTGCATACAGAAGAAGAATCAATCCCAGGTTCTCTACAGTTCCAAAGCAACAGAAAAGATTCTCTGCTTGAAATTGTAGGGAGTTTCGGTTAACTGGGGCAAGTAATGGGAGCTCATCCCCTTGCTCAGGGCTCAGGTCTCGAACCTGGGCTGTCAGTTTTCCAGCTGACAAGCTCAGCATCTTTAACCGTCGAGTCTGCCGACCTAGCAGTTTAAAATCATGCATATGCGAGTAGATAAATAGGTAGCTCTTCGATGGGAGGGTAATGGCATTCCCTGCATCTCGGCGAATAGTCATGCTGGCCAAATGACCATGGAAACATCTTCGGATAACACTAGCTCCCTAGACCAGGGGTAGGCAACCTTGGCTCTTTTATGACTCGTGGACTTCAACTCCCAGAATTCCTGAGGCAGCCATACTGAGGGGAAAGGGAGAGGTTTCCAAGCGGAGTCATGCTGGCTCAGGAATTCTGGGAGTTGAAGTCCACGAGTCATAAAAGAGCCAAGGTTACCCACCCCTGCCCTAAATGGAGATGAGCACCACCCCTTAGAGAGGACACAACTGGCCAGGGGAAAGCTTTACAAAGATTTTACCTTTTGTATTAGCTGGAAAGGTTAATACCTCACTAAATGAAGATTTCTTTACCTCGGCATAAGACACCATCCCGAGTTGCCTTTTCACACATTAATAAAAAAAACCCTGCATGCTAATCTTCCTGCATTGTTCCAATATTTCTTTGCAAATGCTTGAAATATAAATCCTTTTAAATGGCTGTAGTCAGTAGTTTTTAACTTTGTGCCACAACATCACAGAGTTAGATTGGAAAATAATGTCAAACTCTTACCTGGTAGTCCTAGAGGACAGAATGTGCTTTCCCATCTTAACAAATTGTTCTGGGCCATTTAATCGACAAAAATGTTATTCTAGTGAATTGATCAACTACTTGATTTGGTTGAACTTTTGGTTTACACTGTACATGTACATGGGTCAAAAAGTAAGACATGCCCCGATAAGGAACATGCCCTCTATTCTAAGCAACTACACATTCTCAGCTCTTCCTTGATGCCAGTAAGTGAACAATGGTCCTTGTGCGTGGCTCAGAGGACTGCCAAAACCAATATTTGGTGCTACTGTGTGTATGTGCTCCCACTCCTGGCTCAGCGACAACCCTTGAAAACAAAACAGCTTCTAGAGCAGGGGGTTGCTTTGTATGGAGGCTATTATGCATCTTAACCGGCTCACAAAGTCAGTGTTTTAAAAATATCAGGGACAGTTATTCAAAGAAGGAGGTGAGGAATGAAAAATAAAAATCAGTGGGAAGTTATAAATAAATGTTTATTTTAACTAAGAAAAATCAGATTGGAAAGGGCAGCCAAAATGCTTTGCAGTGTTTTACGTAAAGGAATTCTGCTCATTTTGCTCAAGCACACAAGTGCAGCAAATGCATTCAACCTGTGCTAATAACTGAGTAAGTAATAATATAAATAAATCATTTGTGCCCCCTGCAAATATTAACATGCATTTGCAAGTCTGCTGGTAAGCCATACATTAAAACAATTATTATTGTCTCAGACTGGAATAAACATCTGCAAGACTTTTTCTATTCAGCAATTGTATTTCGAGTTTCTCTTTATGTCATGTGTTTATCAATAGATTACTGCATTGTTCAAAAATACGTAATATGAGTCTTTCTGAATGACATGTTTGCTTCAGAAAGCAAGGTTTGCCTCACTTAAGTCATTCATCCTTTAATCTGAATGTTCATTTCCAGTGGAAAAAGGAGGATTGTCCTCCAAATATGCCATATATGTAAGGCATCTTCCTGTTTAAAACACAGTCACCATCTGTGTTATTTGGAGATGTTTCCTTCACATTCATTCCAGCCACCTCAGTCCATTCAGTGCAAGCTGCATGCAAAAGTACAAAAAAGGAAAATAAATTGGAGGAATCTCATAATATATAAGTATCTATTGTAGATTTTTTTTAAAGTGTTTCTCCACTTTTTTTTTCATCTTACCCTCATTGCATCTTTTTAAAATAAAAAGTGTGGAAGAACTCTTTTAAAGCTCCTGTTTAAAAGCCAAGTGACAAAAATGTTATCAAGTTTTAAGTGGTGGAAGGGAGGGAGTTTCATTTTAAAGCCCTCTTGCGGTTTATTTTTGGCTATACTGCAAGCAGCTTCGTGGGTGTTTGCCATTTTAGTGTTTGATTTTGTACATATAATGCTGCAAGCTGTTTTGTAGATCTATATAAACCTTTCCCTCTTTGACCCAGCCAAAGAGAGATAAGCACAAGAGCTAAAGGAAAATGTTTTGCAAAGAACAAAATTTCCACAGTTGAATCCCGCTTAACTCTGCAGTGGCTGGGAATTCATGACATAAGCTTTAACATCCTCCATGCTCTCCTATCTCATTGTACAATGCCTCAGGCTCCCAAGAGGGAGCAACTGGTGTACATGTAAAATAAATCCCATGGATATTTGACTGCTGCCAAATATCTTGGCAGCAGTCAAGAAAGCCAATGCAATCCTAAATTGCATTAACAGAGGGATTCAATCAAGATCACGTGTGGTACTAATACCACTCTATAAAGTCTTAGTAAGACCACACCTAGAGTACTGCATCCAGTTTTGGTCTCCACAATATAAAAAATGATGTTGAGACTGTAGAAAGAGTGCAGAGAAGAGCAACAAAAATTATTAGGGGACTGGAGGCTAAAACATATGAGGAACAGTTACAGGAACCGGGCATGAGTTGAAGAGAAGGACTAGGGAAGACATGATAGCAGAGTTCCAATATTTGAGGGGCTTTCACAGAGAGGAGGGGGTCAACTTATTTTCCAAAACACCTGAAAGCGAGACAAGCAATAATGGATGGAAACTGATCAAGGAGAGACTGAACCTAGAAATAAGGAGAAATTTTCTGATAGTGAGAACAATCAACCAATGGAACAGCTTGCCTTCAGAAGTTGTGGGAGCTTCATCATTGGAGGTTTTCAAGAAGAGACTGGACTGCCATCTATCAGAAATGGTGTAGGGTCTCCTGATTGGGCGGGGGTGTGTGGACTAGATGACCTGCAAGGTCCTTTCCAACTCTTAATCTATTCATGCCATTTTTCTAAGAAGAAAAATGAGTGTGATCCAGTCAGAGTTAAATATTTTTAAGTGTATTGCTTTTACTGGGAGCGTTTTAAATACCTGTTTAATAAGAAACGTAACTTTGGTTACAGCATATGTCAGACCCGAATAATAGAATAGGATGGCAAAAACAGAAGTTCTATTTACAATTGGGCAATATAGCTTTTAGGCTGTGAATGTAATTTCTCCAAATATTTCAGGAAACCAGAGGCTATCAGATGGATGCATCTGCATTTTTAAAGAAATGAATGCAGGGAAACTCACTGCCCAGATTAACGCAAGCGGTCCAAAACTTCTATCTATTCATGCAGATGTTTAACTTGTGCATTTATTTTGAACATGTTTTCCGAAAGGTAATACAGATTTATATACCTCCTTTTCAAACAAATGTGACAGCATGCAGCCAAGCACAGTTTACCTGGCCATTTTTTTTTCACCATAAAAAAGCGGTTCCTGTTGGCTTGAAGCCCCAGGGTCTACCATTGTATTCGAACAAATCACGGTATTTCGGCACAAAGAAACAGAAAGCAGCTGAAGTCCTGCCAGCTCTTTCAACAACCCTGTGCTAGAGGCTTGCAGGCAGAAGCCAACTAAGCGGTCCCTTTCTCTCCCAGGTTTCCTGCTATTGTTATTACAGCGAGAATGTAATGCCAGTTAAATGGATTTGACCCTTTTGCTAAATAACTAACACATATTTCCCTGATTACTGTATTCTCGTGTGTGACGATGTGTGAAGGAGAGAGGATTGCTGCCTCGGGATATTCTAAGCCACGTTTGCAACTTTTCTAGGAGATGTTAGTGATAATTATTGTGTTGAGCATCAGTGCCACCATGGTTTCCCTCCACCCCGAAATTGCATCAACTCTGGCAAGGAGGAAAAGTTGCAGTTGGAATATAGATGAATTAATTGGGCCGATCACTGTAGAGCCCCTGAACTGCGCATAACTGAAAATAGCAAATTTCAAAGAAAGGAATATTTTAGGCATAGGTACCAGCCACAAACCTGACAAGGAATACAAGTTTTCATTGATTCCATCAATATACCTAGGAGTTTATTTAAGTACCATCTGATAAAAATCAATGGGATAATTTAACATTCATGATAAATTTAACATACTTGATAAGATAGAAAAATGTGGGTTAGACAGCATCACCACCAGATGGATCTGTAGCTGGCTGACCGGCCGTACTCAGTGTGTGGTCCTCAATGAAACCGCATCTACATGGAGGGAAGTGTGTAGTGGGGTGCCCCAGGGCTCTGTTCTGGGCCCAGTGCTCTTCAACATCTTCATCAATGATTTGGACAAGGGGATAGATGGAGAAATCAAATTTGCAGGCAACACCAAACTGGCAGGAATAGCCAACACTCCAGAAGACAGGCTGAGGATACAGGAGGATCTGGACAGACTTGAACACTGGGCGCTATCTAACAAAATGAAATTCAATGGTGAAAAAAGTAAGGTTCTACACTTAGGCAAGAAAAACCAAATGTACAGGTATAGTATAGGGGGTACCTTGCTCAATAGAAGTAACTGTGAGAGGGACCTTGGAGTCCTAGTGGACAATCACTTAAATATGAGCCAGCAGTGTGCTGCAACTGCCAAAAAGGCCAACACAGTGCTGGGCTGCATTAACAGAGGGATAGAATCAAGATCATGTGAAGTATTAATACCACTTTACAATGCCTTGGTAAGGCCACACTTGGAATACTGCATCCAGTTTTGGTCACCATGATGTAAAAAAGATGTTGAGACTCTAGAAAGAATACAGAGAAGAGCAACAAAGATGATTAGGGGACTGGAGGCTAAGGAGAAACTTCCTGACAATTAGAACAATTAACCAGTGGAACAATCTGCCTCCAGAAGTGGTGAATGCTCCAACACTGGAAGTTTTTAAGAAGAGACTGGACGACCATTTGTCTGAAATGGTATAGGGTTTCCTGCCTGAGCAGGGGGTTGGACTTGATGACCTCCAAGGTCCCTTCCAACATCATCATCATTATTATTATTATTATTATTATTATTATTATTATTATTATTATTATTATTATTATCTTTAATTACAACATGCCACTTGTTATAATCAAAATGTTTCTAGATAGCTAAAAAAAATCTGTCAAAAAAGATATATCTGAATAGATCAGCTGCTGTTTGGCAAAGCAAGTGTGTGCAAGAATAATTTATATCGAAATAGGAAATGATTAATCTTTGTAAATGGGATATTAATTTTGTATAGTACATGAGTATCTTATTTTGCAGGTATCTTACTCTCTTAAACAGCGGTTATTAATGCTTTTTTTTGTTACTTGGCTATGCTCTTTTTTGACTCTCGCTTCTGGCAATACAGACCCACTCACAGTGTGACATACTTTCATTTATGGGTAAAAAGAAATATGAACTGGTTTCAGCTGAAGGTGAAAAATCTAGGTTGGGGAAGCTGGGCATAGGATAAAACCTCTTTATCTAATTTTTGTTATTATTCTTCATTTTCATGAACATTGTTTTGAATTTGAATTGCCTTCTTTTCAAATAAGTAAGTGCTGAGATATTATCACATGCTGTGGTATCTTGTCCATCCTGAACTATTGAAGAAATACAGTATGCTTACATTCATGGAGAATCAATATATATATTGCATGTGATCACCTGTTGTGACCTTCCAACAAACAAAGTCATAAGTTGAGGACTATCTGTAGATATATCCTGAGGGATTCTAGGTTGTGCCTACCTTGGACCTTTTTCTCCCACCCCCGTCCCACTTGGGATTACACAGTCTCTTAATTTGGGCTTCTCTCTGGAATGTACTGCTTCTTCTCTGGGAAACTACAGTGCTCCTACTGGGATTCCCTTCCCTCTCCCCCCCCCTCCTTCTACATGTGCAGATCCCATCACACCTCACACCTGTTGTGAGGAAAATAGGTAGAAGAAGAAATATTATTTCTGTTCCCTGCCTTGAGTTACTTATAAAAGTAAATAAGAGATGAAAAGGCCTGAAAAACAAAATAATATTCTGGCTAAATATAATATAAAACATATACTGGATATTAAATGGATTAAATAATATACGTGGATCCAATCAGGGAGTCTCTGTTGTGAGCTAGCAAAATTTAGAGGTTGGAATCCACCATTCTGGTCTGACTGTAAAGTTCATTAAGTCAAACAAAACCCATTAGGCAAAAATTCATTCCATGCATTAGAGAGATGTCGTTGCCAATTTAATTTGGCAGTATTTATAGCCAACCTGCTGTGACAGTACCATCTGGACAACTAAATAAAGTTTTATCTTTCTAGCAATATAATCTGGTAAGGGCATTTCCTGGTATTGGAAAATATAGAATTTGATAGACAGGAGCATCCCGGAGACTGACAAACTGGATTGTTCCTAGCAAGAATTCATTGTGTTGCACTTTCAAAGCTCTGAATATCGGGCTGAATGTTATCTCTAACCGAACTCATCCTGTACCAAAG